TGGGGAGGGCCATACATGAGGTCTCCCCGAGTGAAAGATGGGGAGGGGCACCTTCGTTCCCTTTCCCAAATGAAGGCTTGACAGTTGCGTTATATGATTCGTTGAGTATGCTCGTTTCTGAGTATTGGTACGTCTGAACATATAGTATGAGCATCAGCGTGTCTTTCTGCTTGACTCGTCGCCCGCCGTCCTCTTACTATGCGCGTGTGTACCCTTCGCCGCAGTGCTGGCGCGTCCCACGCCCGGCGTTCAGCAGTTTGGCTCGCACGACGTGATGCACCTGTACCAGCCGACGGGCAGCGCGGCCAGCAGTCGGCGGCCCTCGCAGCATCTGGAGGTGATGCGCCGCAAGGACATCTTCTACAGCGGCAGCCTGCTCAACATACCTCAGTACAAGTCAGTATACTATCCCGTACCCCGGCGGGCTAAACATACAGCGGTACGAGTCAGTAATAACCTGTACCTACCTCATGTAGACCAGTCGACCGTGCGCAGTAAAGGGACCTAAGCCGAGATGAAGTTGACTTTCATGCCACAAGAGTTGTATTCTTGGCTGGGTGTGAACCCGGGATGGTTTAGGGCCTACCGTGAGCGGCCTAACGGTCTCATTTCAGACCAAGGGCGCTTTTACGTTCTCCCGTAACTTTTACATGCTGTGCTGAGAAACTGGATATAAATCCTAGCGCCACCTGCTTTTCGTTCACCTACCTCTCGTTGCGTTCAAAGTGATTATGCACCTCGCCTTTATAAGTACAATGGGTCAGACGTGACTCTTGTTTTGTGTTGGTCACGACTCACGTTTCTCAAGATAGTGACGGTGAAAACCCGCGTCACCATTTGGTAATCGTGACCCCTCGGCTCATCCACCAGCCTCTGGGTTAGTGTCTACCGTCTCTGTCATCTGCCTGTTGGACCAAAGGCGCCGTATCCAGCTGTGGCTCTGACACTGCCGAGCCCCGGCGTGCGTCAGCGTCCGCGTACACTCTGGCTCGGCCTCTTAATGACATACGAATTTGGCCGAGCTCCAGTCGGTGCTCTGAGCACGCCAGCTCGGGGCGTCGGACGGACGTGACCTTGGAGGTTTGGGTCACACCACCACGCGCCGATGGAAGCTACTGCGACCTCCTAGTTTCCGGAAAATAACACGCAAAAATAGTCGGTGCTAAATCAGTCTCGGTGAACTGATATCATATATAATGTCATATCTAATCTAGCGAATAGAACACCGAGATAAACATGTTATCAGGCGTGATCAGGCTAGTTGATGCTGCTATTACGTTTCCTTTTTTGCCACAATTTTATATCCTCAGAACTTTGAGTTAGCGGCTAGCGCCGCTCAGAGAGTTGTTAAGTCGCACCAGGTCTACAATGTTAAGGTTTGCTCTACAAAGTATTTGATGCCTGATTTTACGCTTTTTTCTGGTCATGCGACTAATCTTCGTGGCTAATAGTGGCGAGATTAATATGGCGAGATATGGCGAGCACAGTCGGTTGAAAACCATCTACCTGGTGTTGGATATGGAACTGGGGAACGGCTGAAGGGCTTGTATGCCAACGGCGATGGCTGGCAGCTCAGCCTATGACAGCCACTACGCCCTGGCCGAGACTGGCTGTCATTTTGAGCTCAAGTCCACGGGAGAATGGAATCCGCGCGTCCTCTGTCACTGCCTCAGTCGTGGAGGGTGCCAGCCCTGAAAAGTAAACAAAGCAGGAATGCGTTCGAGTTCAATGGCTTCAAATGATAATGTTTTCTGATGCCAACATTTTAGTCATGTGTGACGTGTCAATGGTCTGGAGGCTCTGAATGGAGGATGCTGCTGATCACGAACATTAATCGTGGTTGACGATCTTCTTTGTGTTATAGATAGGTAGTTAAACGTTTAAAGCGTTAATTTTTCATGTGTGAGGGTGATGTTCGAATTATCCGTACTGAACCTTACTCCCGTTCTCCGCCGCGGCAGGTCGAACCAGGACGAGTATGAGGTGGAGGTGGCCGCTCCGGTGGTGGACGGCACGGCGCGCACGGTCGTCTGCGGCTGCATCCAGTGTCCGCAGGACGTGGCCGACACGCTCCACGACATGATGGGCCTGGCACTGCTCAAAGACCCCGTGTTCCTCACGTTCGCCATCTCCAACTTCCTGACCAGCATCGGCTTCAACGTGCCCTACATCTACATCGCGGTGAGAGCGCGTCGCCGTCCCCGCTCTGCGCCCGGCGAGACTGCATGAGGTTGTGTCTAATATACCCTCGAATTTCCCCGATCGCCGTGCATACCACCCCTATTCATTTGTGAGCCAAGCTTTTAAACGTTGCCTTGTCACCAGTGTGGTTCATCTTCACGTTTCTTCGCTCACAGGACAAGGCCGTGCAGGCCGGCCTGGACCGAGACAGCGCCAGTTTCCTCCTCTCCATCATCGGCATCAGTAACACCGTGTCGCGAATCGTGCTGGGCTACATATCGGACCGGCCCTGCGTCAACCGGCTCTGGGTCTACAACTGCGCGCTCACAGTCTCTGGAATCGGTGAGCCGGGCCGGGCTGCGGACATTGAGGGCGGGCTGCGGGTCGGTGAGCCGGGCCGGGATGGCACACGCGGCGGGCCGTGGACATTGTTTTCACATTGGGATGGCTTCTAAGCTGCTCACTGACTCGTAAAAGCCGTAACTGACTTATTCGAGACGCTGGAGGGTTAATTACTCTTTTCCCGGACCCACACTGATGCGCGTTGTGTTTTACGGGACGCATTGGTGAGCTCCTTCCTCACTGACTTGATCTGTACTGACCGTTACTGACAAACTAGAGTCTCTTACTCACCGCCCTGTATTACACCCCATCTGTACTACCCGTAATGGATGGCCCGTTACTTAGTAACCCGTGCGATAACCATGTGTTCGAACCGGCCCTAACCCAGGCCCTGACTGTACCGCCATCCCCGAGGCACTAACTGGTTACCGCCTTCCCCCAGGCACGGCGCTCAGTGCCTTCTGTACCGACTTCCCCAGGTACTGACTGTACCTCTGTCCCCAGGTACTGACTGCACCTCTGTCCCCAGTTACTGACTGCACCTCTGTTCCCAGGTACTGACTGTACCTCTGTCCCCAGGTACGGCGCTCAGTGCCTTCTGCACCGACTTCCCCAGGTACTGACTGTACCTCTGTCCCCAGGTACTGACTGTACCTCTGTCCCCAGGTACTGACTGTACCTCTGTCCCCAGGTACGGCGCTCAGTGCCTTCTGTACCGACTTCCCCACACTGGCCCTGTACGCCGCCGTGTTCGGGTTCACGATCGGCGCCTACGTGGGTCTCACCTCTGTCATCCTGGTCGACCTGCTCGGCCTCGACAAGCTCACCAACGCGTTCGGGCTGCTGCTGCTGTTCCAGGGCGTGGCCACGCTCATCGGACCGCCCATCGCCGGTGAGACAGCTCCACCCCTCCCGCAGGAATCGCTAACCATGTGTGAGGCCGCTGCCGATGACTTGCAATAGTTACCTACATCGCTCAGTTGCTCCATCGTAGCGCAAACGTGGAGATAATTAAAGCTCTTGTCCACGGTTTACCGACCGCATCGATACCACTCACGGGACGAATCGATCATAATGGATTGATGAGTTATTGACAGCCGTGACGTCAACATAAAGTCACCAGTGGGGCAAATACGTCAGCGGTACGGCGACGCCCTAGCAGTGCCGAATCCTGCTCCGTTGTATAACTGCTGGGGCATAGGTGGGGTGGAGGGGGTGACTGTGGTGCCAGTACCGGACCACTGAGTTTGGGAGAAGGGGGGAGGAGAGGTCTGTGATGCCGTTGACGATTGTCCGGAGGGTGGTGGCAATGCTGGACTGCTGCAGCGTCAATGTCGACCCGCGGAGGGTAGATGGGCGCTGAATATCGCCGATGTCGGGCCGCCGATGGGTCCTGCTCTCGTCACTCTCTGACGGCGCCCCTCCGTCCGCAGGCGCCCTGTACGACGCCACAAACTCGTACGACCCGGGCTTCTACGTGGCCGGCACCATGGTGGCGGTAAGCGGCGCCATGCTGTTCTTCATCCCGTGTGTGCGCCGGTGCGCCGGCAACTCGGAGGTGCGCCGACAGCGCTCCGGCGGCTCCCGGCTGGCCGAGCCGGCGGCCTGAGCGACCAGGGAGGAGGGGCGGGGCGCGGCCGCCCCGCCATCTGTTCAGGGCCAGTGCCTGCTCCGGGCCTGCTCCGGCGGCCGGAGACCGAGTATTTTCATACCGAGTATGTGCCTGAGTGAGTAGGAGGCGGCGACGGCGCGGTATTCGTGCTGCCGCTCCGCTCTGCTGCTGCCCGACGGGAGGAGGGGCCTGGGAGCACTCTGCCGGCGCGGGATACCACTGCTGTCCCACGGGGCCGAGGGAGCTCTACCCGCACAGGTAGGAGGCGGGCTGAGAGAGGAAAGCGGGCGTGTTGCGAGCTGTGCCAAACGCCGCACCTCGAGTCGCATCAGCTCGAGGGCACTTTCAGAGTGGTGAGCTGGAGAGGCCAACCGACTGCTCCGGCTGCTCGGACCCCATCGCAGCGCTCTTAGCGAACTTACTTGATTAATGAATTTAGAGTCGATATTATTACTTGATGATGCCACTGTATGATACCTTTGTCGATATGGAAATACATTATGTCCATGTGAACATAGCTCCCGACCGTTTTAAAAGCTGAAACGGACAAAGTGTCATATCACGTGGAAGCTAATGTGAGAGAACAATTAAAGACGTGCACATTATTTGTAGAGAAGTGATATGTAATGTAGCAGACATACAGCTGGATGTTACGCCCCGCCGTGGGCTGGCTGGGCAAGGGATGCTCGCCGCGTAGATGTGCGTAAATCAACAGCAAGTGGATGCATCCGCTCCGATCGCGGTTCGGCGCGGTACGTGACTGTCGCAGCGCTATTTCTGGAATCGTGGCGTGAAAAAATGTGCACAATTCTGGCACCGATTGTGCACTCTTTGCTGCCAATTGACTATAGACATTCACAAGCAGTTGGCAGTCACTGATGTATTGATGCAATAGCTCTCGCTGATGATTGCCATTTTCCGAGCAACGTTCGAAAATGCATGTCTGCATCAAAGTGCATCCAGGTCCTAGACGCCTGAAAAGCAAGCTATAGCAAAATGCGCACGGTGCAATATACAATGCATGATGTAGGAATGCTGACAAGGCTAGCATCAAATCGGCTACATCTGGGCTGCTTTTCCAGATCGCCGTTTGACGTTCTTACTCTCGGTAGAAATCATCTTCCGAAGTTGTCGGATTTCGTATCAAGCTACGAATATGTAACAGGCGTCAAAAAGGTGAATAGCTCATTCGCGTTCATCTTCAACACATACGAGACGCTATAATAAAATCTTGCAAACGCTCAAGCACGCGCACGTTCACACGTAACATACAGCAAGGTGCTATGCCCAATACTAGCGTGCTTACGCATACCAGCAAGTCATTCGGTAGTTTGGTCTCCCCGCCTAGCGTGACTGTCGACCAGCAGCCGGCAGTATCAGTGTCTCGACTCCGAAAGACAATGTCACTGGCTGGGACGTCTGGCAGTGCTCAGAGAGCTGTTGCCTTTTCGTCATCCCGTTTGTGATCGTGTCACCCACTAGAAGTTCTCGAAGTGGTGTTCGAAGGTGGCGCCGCTGCCGCGGTTCATGGCCTGGGCAGCTTCCTCCACTGAACGAGTCATGGGCGCCGGGCCGCACGAGAACACGCCGAATTTGCCCACCTGTGGGTGATCGATATCACAGGTCACCGGCGGACACATCAGAGATCAACTTCCTGATGGTCATCGCGCCCGTGACACGCACGCTCGCAGCCTTGTGCGCTAAAGTGTCATCTGTCGACTGTTCGACTGAACTGAAACAAACGCTCTGATTGAACGATCAACAACAGTCACAGTTGTCATAAAAACCGCGCGTCCTATATCGCCAATTCGTTCACCGAGTTGCACGATACAGAACACCATTACATACAAGCCCAGCATGCACGTAAGCCACCCTCATGTGCGGGACATAATGTAAGTACATACCCTTTACATGTGCGCTGTGCATGTCGCGTACTCATTTGCTTTATTGCCTTCCTCAGCGCAGAGTATAACGCACCCTTTATGTGCACGTGAGCTTGCGCGCGCTGTCCATGTACCCACATTAGCCCGCTCGTGTTCGCGGTTCATTAGTGCCCCTTACCTGAGGGTGAGCGCGCTGCAGGGAGCGGAATATAGACGGCAGGTTGGGCCGCCCAAAGTGCGTGATGGAGCGCAGGCCGGTGAACAGCGAGCGGCGACTGATCTTCTGGAAGTGCCGCTCACAAATGTACTGAAACGAGGACAGTTACATGCAGTTGACATCGCTAGCTAGAGACACGTGAAAACAATATATAAAATAACTATTGTGATGAACTTAGTCGAGTGAATCACTAAGACGCCTGGAAATACCTGCAAAACAAACGGCATTTGCCGCTTTGAGGCACGCTTTAGGAACGGTTGACAATCTTTTGACGTTTATGCTTGCTAAAACATCGTAAGTTATCTACATCTGAAATCTTCTAAGCTCCATTCGACTTACGAGCATGATGGTGCGGAGGTCGAACTTTGAGTAGAACTGGGTGATGAAGATGTGCGTCGACATGAGGTGGTTGGAGTCGCTGCTCTCCACGTCTCGGATAATGTCCACCATCCACTCAAAGTGTTTCTGAGTGCGCGTCACCCACAGGAAATACACCTGCAGGGGCACACAGCAGTCAGACACACAAACTGGCCAACACAAGCTCACAAAACAATAATGACCTTTCCCATATGAGATCAATTTAAACAGCCCGAAAACTGATATCTCAATGGTAACAGCGATAAGATTACGTGTTACTAATGCTCGCCTTCCACACTCAGGTGTAGATCGGTGAGATTACCTTCAACGAAGATCGGTAAGCTGACCTTTTTGCACGCGATGCCGGCCGGAGCGCTGGCCCGACGGACGATGTCTTTGAGGATGGAGGCGAACGGCGTGATGCCGATACCGCCTCCGACCAGAACCGACACCTCGAACCGGTACCAGTCCTGGTGTCCCTCGCCATACGGACCGTCCAGGTAGATCTGAGAGAGAGGCGCACTCGGCTCAGCGGACGAAGGTCGGGCTCAGGCTCAGCTCAGGGTCCTAGGCTCAGCGAACAAGACTAGCGATCAGGCCCAGCTAAGATTCTGATGCTTACGGAACGATACATACAACGGAGAGCGAACGGAATCATCGGTAAAGTTTGCAATGCCGGCAGAAAGCCCGAACAGTTCAAACACTACACGGAACTTGACAACACCCTGATGCGCAGTGAAATTAAATTTCAAAATGGGTATCTTGGACATGATCTAAAGTCTGTAGTTGCGATCGTACCTTGGGCAGCGCGTGGTCGCGGATGACGGTGGGGTCGTAGACACGGCGCAGGTTGCGGGTCCACGGGCCGACGGCGCGGATGTGCAGACTGAGGTTCTTCTCGTGCGGCGCCGAGCTCAGGGTGAACGGGTGGAACTCGCTGCTGCTGAGTACCGGGCAGGCGATACGCACCCACTGGCCCGACTTGTACTCAAAGTTGGACGGACGCTTGATGTGGATGGCAGTCACATCTAGAGAGACACGGTCATGTAATAAGCTTGCGAGCGTGTGTTCAAAAGGATAGTTAAAGCGGAAACATCTGTCTCGTCTAAACAATGCGCAATATTAATCATAAACGTCACTGTTGTTTTGCACTTAATGTGTAAACTTACGTGTACTTTCCGCCTTTACACGCTGCCAGTTGCGGCGGCAGCTGCTCAGCCTTGAGCGCAGTGTTACTTGGTCAGATGAGTTACTAAAAACCACGTACAATCATTGCCCACTGCGGGAGCGGCCAATACCTGAGGGCAGCAGCTCAGCGTTGATGACGGCGATCTCGACCTTCTTCCTGCTGGCAGTGACGAGTCGGTCCAGCGCAAACAGCACACACGGACCCAGGAAGAAGTAGTAGAAGAAAGGCTCCTGGAAAACACGCAACGTTCCGATCGAACGGGTTAAAATTGATACCGGCATATAACACAGTGGGGAGTTAATGTGGCTCTTTTTGACCGCACCTTTTTCTCCAGCACAGCATCAAGCAGTTATTCCAGACATTTGAGATAAGCTTATTATGAGCGCCGAACAGTACAGAAGCCCATCGGCAGACGATAATCTTAATTCAATGAGCGCTGAGTGCCTTTAGCTCACCGGCAGACCACCCTCAGCAGTGCTGTTCAGCCGTCTCACCTGCACCAGCCGGCCGGATCCGTGCAGCACCGTGAGGATGTAGAAGAACGGGTACGTGTTGTGCGTCGCCCAGAAGCCCTTGTAGACGTTCCTCCTGGCGTACTGCACGGCGAACACGTAGATGGCGGCCATGTTGAGCAGCAGCAGCACGCCGGTGAAGCCGGTGATGGTCTCCCAGCACCAGTAGTGGAACTTGGGCAGCACGTCCGTCCTGCCGACCGACGAGACGACACGGCCTGTTAGCGCACTGGGTGCCGACGGTAGCCAACACCCGTACCATACGCTGCGCCAGGCCCGACGGCGAGCCGGACACTGCAAGTAACGTACGTAACACTCGATTCTTGAAAGACTTCCGAAATAAAGGTTTATTCCAAACAGCCTCGCGATTTGCGAATTACAAAGTCGTGCACTTTTATGCACGCATTTGGTTACATCGGTCACGCCCACGGCTCGCTGTTTATCTCACGATCTGAAGTAGTCGCGGAAGAGGCATGTGAGGTCTCCGGGAGCCTGAGTCGAGATGTGGTAGAAGTTGATGCCGTGGCCAACCGTGTGCACCACTGGAAACAGACGAAATGAGATAGAAAATAATTATTTCACACCAGTAACGTTTATATACCTAATGGTAGCTTTCGAATGCCTTCTTCGGCAGACGAAATTAGAGTTACCAGCTTCAAGCTTTAAAAATAAAAGGATAACACATCAAAGCACGCGGGAACACATTTCGCATGAGCCCTTATATAGGCCTCAACTTCACATTACTGGGATACATCTTTCTCCTATCCCTCTCTTCCTCTCTTTCCTTCTGCCTCCCAGGACAGTCGCCCGCCACTACACCACACCAAAGAACGCACTCACGTGAGAAGAAGAGCGCCCAGGCGGCGATGTACTTGTGCAGGAAGATGGCCGAGTCGAAGGGTATGAAGCGGTGCAGGAAGGTCTCGCGGCAGAAGGTGATGGTGTTGCGGCACATGGTCACCAGCAGGGTCGAGTAGGTGAACATCATGGCGGAGGCGGCGCCGCGCGTCACCGTCACGCCGTAGCCGGCGATCCGGCGCAGACCGGCGTGCTCCCGCTCCACAGAGTAGTCTGGACGGGCAGGGGGACGCGACTTACAACATCTTCGTCCCCCAGCACGCAAATTCAGCACACTACTCTAGCAATCATTGAGAATATCTTCAATATTATGTAGGTTCTGCTCGTGGGATTTAAATACACCCGAGCGACTTCTCTGCCCGACTGTCGACTGACGTATCGGACACAAGGTAACGTCTATTACAAAGTAGCTCCTAAAGTAGCTTCTTGGCATATATATAACTTTATCATTCATTCATTTCCACTGTACTCAAACACATGAGATGTGCAAGCCGCCAAACGTTACTATGGTACACTCACAGTAGGCTCGTTCGGCGAAAATGCCCAGCAGGACCAGCGTGTACAGGGTGCTCCAGAAGACGGTCAGCCGGTGAATCTCCATCCAGCGGGCTAGCCGGCCGGCCCCACTCGCCTGCTGCCTGCTGGGCTCGCCCTGGTTCTCAATGACGGCGATCTCTGCCTCCGGCTCATCGGGAGAGGTCGGCGCGGCGCCCTCGCCGCTGTCCAGGTCACTGGCGGGTGACACACAAGCAAAGTGTAATTGCAATGCATTCACAACATGGCCGTTAATCACAGTGGCTTTTAAACTTTTGTGCATCAGGAAATAAGCCGCATGCGTGGGCCAAGTTCAAAAGATAGCTCGAATTCTCGAGAACGTCAAAAAGAAAAATTATGGTATATCATTTTTATTCTTCAGGATCCATCTATGCATTTTCTTCCTTGAACAGTCTGCATCGTGTTTTAGATAGACGGCCACCGGTTACTGGGGTGGAAGTGTAGGAACCTTACCCCGGCTAACCGCTAACGCGACTGGTTGGCCAATGGCCAGTCCTTCGGAAACGCTAAACCGCTGACCGCTTCTGGCATCTGCCCAATGTCTCAACCGGATCAACATAATGCTGCAAATATCTTGTAATGCGGAAATAGCCTAAAACGACTAAAATAAAACAAAACAACCACTCACCTGTAGATGGAGAGGACGGTGTCACGGGTTCGAGCGAAGCCAGACTTGCGCTTGTCCTTGGACGGCAGGGGCATCGATGCTCCTGTAAGACGTCAACGAGGCGGCAGTTACAGACGGCACAGACAAACAGCTGGTCATTGGTTACACCGGGAGCGAAATTTGTCGCCGGGCAAGGACAAGAAATTTGACACCTTTTGGCATCGTGGCTATCACATATGTTATGCGCTTGACACTTACCAAGTCGTTTTTAGCTATGATGTTTAAAGTTTCAGGCTTTCAGGCTTGGACAGCACGCATAAAACATATCTATCCGCTCGTTGCACGAATGTCATTGCACAGTCACGTACCTGCCACCTGCAGCTGGGCGTATCCGAGCGCCTCCTGGTGCTGAGCGAACAGCCGCAGGAACTCGTCCGCCGTGATCTCGTCTTTGTCGCTGAGCCCGCCCGAGCTGAACATGGTATTCACCACCTCGTCCAGGTTGGTCGAGTCCAGCGAGGCACTGGAGAGCTCCAGCAGCGATCTGGGGAGGGCGGAGGGTGCTGTCAGTGCCACCGACACTGAGAGTCGCCCGGGCAGGCGGGGAGACTGGCGGGCGCCTGTGACCACGGTGTGGGGTACACGGAACACTAGCCATGGCGCCGTGTGCACCTTAAGTAAGTTCAACTGGTGCCTCCTGGATCGGGTATATTGATTCATGCACTCTGTATCGTGAAAATTACGCTGTTGGCAGCGCGTAAGACTTGGAAAAAAGCCGCACCGTCCAATAAACCGAAAGCTATTTACAAGTACATATGTTCGTACTTGTTATAAAAGGGGCATCATAAACAACGCCACTGAAAGCTTACCGAATCATATCGCTGAAGTCTTTGCGACTCAGTTTGCCAACTTGATCGATGTCGTACATGTCGAACATCAGCTTCACCTTGTCCTCTGCAGTTCCCTTGGCGAACACGACCATCATGTTCAGGAACTCGCGGAAAGAGATGTAGCCATTCTTGTCCATGTCCACGACGGCGAACATCTGAGGGTTGGGGGACGAACAGGTTAGTGGCGAGTGAGGAAGACAAGGTAAAGGAGACGGGAGGGAGACAGTCAGCGCGAACGAGATGCTATACGGAAACAAATGAGCGACAGCTCATTCGGTGATTTTATCATTGGATTCACTTGCGTCAGAAAAAGCAGCTTATTCCAAATCCTAGCATGACACGGGAATGGAACATTTAGCTTCGGACGAAACATGTCACCTAGCAGCCCAGCTCAATGTGGATGAACTGCGGTGATGTCTGAAGTGCGTACCTTGGTGACGAAGCTGGACGAGCTGGACATGCTGAGCGCGTCAGCGAACTCTGCTAGCGTCAGCTCCATGTGCACCACCTCGCGCGCGCTCTCCGAGCTCACGTTCAGCACCTCCTCCTTGCTCAGCTTTATGTTGAACGCCTGTCGGTAGTCATAACACACGTTGTGATGTGCAGCAAAAGGATACGGTTGCTTAGAATGAAGCTCGTTAGTCGTTTGCATTCGTTATCGGAGAGGCATAGAAGCTCACTCCGGTAAATCCGCGCATCCAAAACTGGACAACACAGCACGCCACCGACCAGAGTTTGGGCTCTCACCTGTGCGAACACCACTCGGAAGAATCGCTCCAGGTTGCGCTGTCGGTGCTCCTGGGTGACCACCTGCTCCAGCGCCGGCTTCAGCTTGGCAGTCACCTCGTTCTTCTGGATGCCGCACTCGGAGAGGAAGCCGTTCAGTGAGCCCATGAACTGGTCCCTCAGAAAGTGGCCGCCCAGCTCCAGTACCTGAAAATGCCCAGTACACAGCAATATATTAATTCATTGTCGGGGACTGATGACAATTCGGCTGCCAAAGAACCAAAGCTACAGAATTTTTAATGCTCCGTAACCCTGCACGATGCAATTGGGGAGAGGGGAGAGGCATTTTAGACACTCTTGCCACGCACCGTTAATGCCTACAGAGCTAAGCATTTTCATTTGCTACTCTCCCTTCCTCAATCGTTGAGCTCTGGCTCATAGCCAGCCCGGCTTCCTCACAGCACGGGCCTCTGTCCCCTCCCATTACCTGACCCCGATGATAGAGGTGACTGTGGTCGCTTCCTACTCACCAGGTCGTACTCGTGCGCCTCTGTCCCATCACCTGACCCCCATAAGACAGCCGAGGGGTGGCGGGGCCGTCTCCGACCCACCAGGTCGTACTCGTGGGTCTCTGTTCCACGGTCTGACCCCAGTGCCAGAGGGGAAGCGGGGTGGTCTCCGACTCACCAGGTCGTACTCGCGGGGCACCTTGATGATGACGGTGCTGCCATCTGTCGGCAGGATGACGTCCAGCTCGGCCATGTGCCGCAGCTCCACAGAGCGCAGCAGCGAGCCCTTCATGGTACGGATCTCGATGGAGCGGCGCGTCTTGTCCAGCCGCACCACCACCGAGCGCAGGTTGTTGGCAGACACCCGCTCCTGAGCTGGAGAGACACAACGCGCGGTTTGTCAAAATTAGAGCTATTTATATTCACTACACTTTCGAGTATCGGTAACTCATAAGACATCACAAACGTATTTTGTGATATTATACCCGTCCGTCGTTTCCATCCTCAGGAAATTCACATCCTTCTCCTCCACTCTGCAACCATGATCAGGGCTCTGGACAGGCAACTTTATCTCATGCGGGCTGCTCCCTTCGAGCGGCACCGCTGCTCCCAGGGGAGCACACCCGTAGCCGGGTGCAGTGAGTACTTGGGGAGCTGGTCGGCCTGTCCTATGGGACGGGCTCAGCCCCGGTGACTCACTAGGTTGCCTGTCCAGACCAATGTCTTCCCGTAATTCCTAGCATCCTTCCGGCTTTGAAATGGTCTTGTCAGACCGAAAGGGCCTAACCCAACAAAACAAGCAATATCACGCACAGATTTTGTGATAGCGTATCGATGTTTTAAATACATATAAATCACACACACTTTGATGATTATAGCGAATCAACATTATACACATATACCGGTGATAGGAAGGCACGGACACTCCAGGAGAGCACCTTACCGGTGACGGCGATGCCCTGGCCGACATTTTTCACCACCTCCGACTTTGCGGCGCGGCTGGGCATGTTCTGCCTCTGTCGTCTGCGAGCCAGCATGATCAGAAGTCCGACCAGTCCTGGGAAGGAGCACCCAGCCACGATATGAAGTTACGATAGGATTTAGGTACTGATTATCAGCGCACTATGAGGTCCTCTCCGGCATCCATCAAACGTTGGGGAATGAACTGTAATCGTAAGGCCGCGTGTGAATGCTCTTGATGGCAATACATATGCACACACATGCATACATACATACACATTACATACATACACATATATACATACAAACGTACATACAAACACACATGCATGCATGCATGCATGCATGCATGCACACATAGATCCAAAGTTACATATATACATACAACCATACATAGACACAAACGTACATTTATGGCATGGAATTTGATATTTAGTTGTCTATCATGACCTTCAATTCTACCGCAGACATGTATTTGCTGCCCACTTACCACACACGGCGAGGAAAGCGGCGAGGAAGGTAAGCGCGAACGAGGCCTCGCTGCCGGAGAAGTAGTCGTAGGTGCGCGCCGGGGAGCACTCCTCGATCTCCACATTCTCCGAGAAGGAGCCCAGCGGGTACAGGAACCGACACGGAATGGTGGAGGACGCCCTACGACACGTGGCATTCTGCATCCTGTCCTCCAGCGCTTGTTGGCAGCTGTCCGATAGGTCCTCGTTGCCTGGAGATGGAAATGAAATGTCATTTTCAACTCATTTATGTACAGCGTGCTCTTGGCCAAACGCTGTAAGATCATAGAACAGGAGAATGGCAAAGTTATGACAAAAGGCTGCTTTAAAGATACAACTTGTCACTGAACTTCCTAAATAGTCGCATACTAAATTTTGCACCGCGTGACAGCAATAATAACGATGAATCATGGTGTGTCCTTAGAATAGAGGCCGCAGATTATGTCCTTCTATGCTATATTCTACGGTCTACCTCACCTTCCATGAGAACGCGGAAAGGATCCGACTGGATATCGTTTCGATCCATGTCTGTCACAGACATAATGATGTCGTAAATCGTCAGCTGCCGGATCCGCTCAATCTCTTCGTCGGTAAACCGTCTGAAACAACAAAACCGGATATAATTCTGCATCCATTGCACTTACGATACCTACACAGTACACATCGGCCATCGCTGATAGATGCAAACAACGGTGCTGGCCTGATTCTGCGCCAAGGCTCTCAATTTTCAAACAGCAAACGGGACAGAATGAACAGCAAACAGACGGCTTCCCATGCTATTTCCCTTCAACCGTCCATCGCTTACGACTCACCGTAGCCGTTTTCAGTGGCTTACCCGTTCAGTCTGTTCTCGAACCAGAACCGGTCGGCGTTACGGATGCGCGTGAATTGGTCACGGATGATGGCCGAGAAGAGCTGGCCGGGTCGGTCCGAGGTTTCCAGCAGGCCGCCCGCCCAAATGTCCACGTTCGACATGGAGTTGTTGTACACCTCGCTCAGACGGTCGATCACCTGTGCGGGCCGAGAGAATCGGTCAGACAGCCGGGCGGAGAGGGAGCCCGTGTGGACACGGAGTTGGCACTGCCGTATGATCATCACAGTCAGCACGGAAAGGACACTCGCAGTCACACCCGAGGCCGACGTCTTGGATTCAGACACATCATAACGCTCACATCCGTACACACACCTGCACTCTACTAGTCTACAGTCCATCTGTACTTCTTGCACCGACCTCCACACACACTATGGGAGCCAACAACTATTCCATCGCAATCAGTTGTAACATTTGCACACTTATAACAGTTGTAACAAAACTAACATAACTGTAATCTTATGTAGCATTTACTGTGCATTTCTCTTACAATACGACCAACCTCAATTTCTATCGGCTATCGCAGCACAATTATAGGCATGAATTCATGAATGACATTCATTAATGAAGCTTTACTGGGTACTCCATCAGCCACTGACTGACCTCCTGGTCGACCTCCGATCCGGTGATGGTGGTGAAGTTGTCAAAGTCGACCGGTGGCAGTCCGAACTCGTGGCGCGCGGTCAGGTAGTCGGGCAGACCGTGGTCGCGTCCCCGCTGAATGTTCACGGCCATCAGGTCACGGCGGGAAAAGTCCAGTGGACCGAACACGTCACCTGCGACCGGCAGAGTGAGTCAAGTCAGGACACATTGGAAGAAAACACATCAGAGGATACGTCAGCAGATGTCACATATCGAGATAACCCGTCACTAGAGCACGTGATATATGACGGGCTAGTCATCCCACGTTACAGAAACGAGCTTTATTATTGCTAGATATTTATCTAACAACACATCGATTGCGTTTCCACAATTTGCCGTATAAGCAGAGGCTGTTTTGACGAACTATACGAGCTGTTGGCCTCACCCCTGAGGTCGTTGACGATGATGTTGTCCTCGCGCTCGGTGGACTGCAGCGCCATTCCCATGAGCATTCGGTCCACATCATGTTCCCGCAGCGGCTCCTGAAACACCAGCCAGGATCCGTTCATAACTGAGCGCTTCAACAGAGTGACGAGCGACGCATGATTCATACGCTTATAACCCATGGGGATCGTCAGTAAGACGTTTCTACATGAAAAAGCAGCCTCTGTACTCTGCAGGTACATAAATCGCATTCAATGTTTCATCCTGACACCATAATGCGACCAGCCACCACGTGGAGTTTCGGCAGCACCTAAAGCTCAGAGCAGCGAGGTGCTGGCTCGAGAAGGATCGGTGCCCACTTATAGCACCTGTCGTTCCACGGATTTGCCACGGACAAAATATGTCCGTGTATCCTCTGCATCCGTATACCGTAGAATGAAGCCGTAATCGCCACGCTATATGTGGGAGACTTTTGATGTCAATACATACATAGTCATACATGCATAGTCATACATACATACATACATACATACATACATACATACATGCATACATACGCACCTGCGGCCTCCAGAAGGAGTTGCACGTGCGCACGCCGCTTATCCGGTGTCGGTCGGTGCCGGTGAGAAAGCCGAACCCCTCGGTCAGGCATCCCTCGCGGCTGAAGTTCCTCAGGTAGACGCCGGAGGTCACCAGGGTGTGGCCGAACCTCATGGCGGCCGACTGGAACACGTGCGTGATCTGAGGGTCCACAGAGTCGTCGTAGCCTGCAAAAGAGCGGCACAGTAAGAAACACATGTGTGATTTCGGAAGTCACAGAGTTTTGGTAGCTGCAAAAAAGCGGTTACCTATCAAGCATATTAAATGAATTTAGATTTAGAAAGCTTAACAATCCCTTGCTTTGACACAAATATTCACCAGGCATCGTGAAAATCTAATGGTTTACTCGTGACGTTTTCTCACTTTGATAAGGACATCTGCATTCTGCACTGCGCGCACCGTCTACATTCGGGCAAAAGAGTCGGTCACTCCACGCCTCATAACAAAAGGATAGGAGGCCGACGACATACCTCTGTACGTGTCGAGGGGCGCGCCCAGCCAGCTCGGCAGCCACTCGTTCACCACGATGTGTTGGTGGGTCGCGATCACCCACTTACGCGCCTCGTTGAACACGCGCTCGCCTGAAATATGACACAAATGAACGGTAAAAAGGCCGCGCTAGGCCGGCACTTCGCTAGCTTGTCAGCAGCCGCTTGTCTAAACGGAGTTAGGTACCTATGCCATTGAGTCCATTCTACAAATTAAGTCAACAAACGGCCATTGAGCTTGACATTATAAGTGAAACGGCATTACATTATATCTACATTTTCTAAATTACACATGACAGTACTTATAAAAAAGTTCGTATAAATCCGTAACAAAAGTTTGTACTTTTAAATGTTAAGTTTAAAGTAACGTTTTATTTAAGTTTAAAAGTAACGTTTACCAGCTGATAACTTTTTCGTATCAGTCGACTCGAATGGTGTCCTGGCTGGATCGGAGCCCTGGGATTGGCGTTGCTTACCGGACCAGTCGGGGTGTTGGCTGGCCAGGTACCCGGCCACGTGGTTGTGCCACCGGTACCACATCACTCCGAACGTCAGAAGGAAGGGGTTCTCGTTGCCGCGCGGGTTACCCAGCACTGAAATCAGACGCAACGTCAGAGTCCCATCAGAGAGTCTCCCTTCAATCAGGTACACTGTTAAGACGGCGCCTGTCATACGAATAGGGTACTTTGACAGCGCATAATTTAGCCATGCATTGTCAAGTGTCAGGCGTCAGCACATATCGTCTCACCAATGGGTGTAATGGCATCCTACGAATCCGTCACCGTAAGTACAGGGGGAGTCGCGTCGTTGGCAGACGCCAGTCGTCCCGGGCCGTCAGTGCGGACGGAGCCGTGTGCCCCGATTGGGAGTGTCTCCGCGGGGACCAGAGGCACTCAGAACTCAGCAGTCAGAGGCACTCGGCACTCGGCACTCACTCCAGAAGCGGTTGACGGGCGCGGTGCGGTGTCGCGCCGTGAACTGTTGGTGCTGGGTGGGCGGCGGCGGGTTGGCCAGCGGCAGGCGCACGGCGTTCCGCTCCGGGAAGCCGCGGTACGGCTCGTCACTCCAGGCCAGCAGGCCGTCCGGCGCCTGCGTGCCGTTGGCGAACGAGCGCAGCACGTCCGCCCACGCCTTGGTGGTGCCGTACGTCAGGCCGCCGTCCAGCCACGGCGTGATCTCGTTCAGCTGCCGACACGGACCGGGACGGGTCAGCAGACACTCAGCGGACACTCAGCGGACACTGTCAGCAGACACAGTCAGCGGACACTGACCGGGATGGGGCAGCGTACACTGCAGACTATTTCGCTACCACGCTGCTGACTTCTGCCGGTTCTACTAACACTAAACACGACAGGCACAGCTGATCGGGCTTTATTAACTAGTTACCTAACACCTATCTCCAGCAGTGTGACCGTGTGTGTGCGTGTACGTGTTGTTGTTGTTGTTGTTGTTGTTGTTGTTGTTGTGTGTTCAATTCCCACCTGTTGTCGCGGCGCGTTGGGCGAGAAGCCCGAGTTGGCCATGTCGTACCGGGAGCGCACGAACGGCAGCTCGGTGTGGCCCGGCTCGCGCCGGTACCGGTGGCCCTCCGGGATGGGGATGTTGAAATACTCGGGCGGACAGCCGGGCCGCTGGGCGTCCAGAATCTCCTCCACCACCTGCTGACCTGGGAGCGGCGCATCCGAGGGGATTCCGTCACAATGCACAGACGCAGACACACATACCCACAGACATCCACATTCCACACACATAATACAAATACACACGTCAACACGCGAATGAGCGATATAAGGTCTCCAGTGTGCCTCTAAACCGAACTATCCACTGACCGAAAAAGACGAGCAGCGCCGATTTGCCCGTCTTTGAGAAGTTGCCGTTGGGCCCGGACATGAGCTGTTCAGAGATGTTCAGTGGGTTGGGACGCAGTGCGCCGGATGGTTCGTACGTGCCGTCGCCGTACGCCGGGGGTAGCTTCCTCAACAGCGGCATCTCTGCGGAGGGGAAACAGATTGTTGAGTCACAGAGCTGCAGCGGAGGACGCGGGCTGAGTCACTGGACGGCCGGAAGCACCGGGCTATGTTAGGGGGCAGAATCGCCAAACGTGGCGCTGGGTCACTGGATAGCACCGCCAGACGCGGGGTGGATCACAAGCAGGGCTGCGGAGTCGGAATCGGAGTCAGAATCGGTCGGATTTGTTCGGAGACGACAGTTCTGACCGGAATCGGAGTCGACTTTGGAAACCTGAGCCGAAGTCGGAGCCGGAGTCACCGAAAATCCATCGATTCTGCAGACCCATGGCAGGGCTGCGGAGTCGGAGTCGGAGTTAAGGGCGGTCAGAGTCGATAGTTCTGCCCTGAGTCAGAGTCAGAGTCGGAGTTGTTTTTTAAGCCGGAGTCGGAGTCAGAGTTGGAGTCACTGAAAACTCATAGACTCCGCAGACTGATCACAATACCCTGCCCTGGTGGCGAATCAGTCTCCAGACCGATCGAGTCAGAGGCCTCTCCACTGCCACTCTGGCCGGCAGATCGGGAGCAGGCGGACTCACCGGAGGCTCCCAGCTGCGGGTGGGCGAAGTTATTGTACCAGCCGTCGTACCCCTCGTACTCGACGTGGCGGTACGGCTGCGGCTGGCAGTCATCGCCGCCCTCGCAGCCGTCCAGCAGCCAGCGCAGCAGGCCGAGTTTGTTGTCCCGGCTCGGGCCGGTCACCCACTGGGAGCTGGTCGGCTTGCTGGCTGAAGGAGGTGCAGACAGACGGACACGTCAGACGGCACATACGAGTCTACGACACCTGCCATGGCATAAGACACGCTTATTCGATAATATACACCACACTGGGTAGTTGGGATACCTACATCTACATGCGATACACTTTTCTAGACACGTTCGATCTCCTTATCTCTATCCGTCTCTATGCGTCTATTTCGTTTATCTTCTAAACATCCCAGCATTTTATGGCAGAAGACAACAGATTCCTTGAGAATCTCCCTCAGACAGCCGAACTAACCTCTTTGAGCAGTGGATGTCCCCACGGTGACTAACAGCACCAGCAGAGCGGCCCACCGCGCTCCTGTCCGACCGGACAGCGCCGTCCCGTGGGACTGTCCGGACATCGCTGTCCCGTTGGACCCTCAGGTCTGGACACACACTCCCAGAGAGAAGCGTAAAATGGCACGGAGTCCGTCAGATTCGGCCTGAGGAGGGCACGGTAGCTGTTAGAACACGGTCAGCATACTGTAAGGACACGGTCAGAATACTGTGAGGACACGGTCAGAAAGCTGACGACACGGTCAGAAAACCGAGGGTAAGGTCAGATTACCGTGAGAACTGAGAATACGGTCAGATAACTATGACCAGACGGTCAGATTATTGCGAGAGAACGGTCAGATAACTGGGAGTGCACGGTCAGATAATTGTGAGCGGGCGGTTTTATTATTGTGGAGAAACGATCAGATCATTGCGAAAACACAGATTTTTGTGAGCGCACGGTCAGATTTCTGTGAGGATACGGTTAGATTGCTGTGAGGACACGGTTAGTTTACTGTGAGCGCATGATCAGATAACTGAGGGCACGGTCAGATTACTGCGAGAACACGGTCAGATTACTGCGAGAGAACGGTCATTTACTGTGAGAACACAGTCATATTACTGTGAGAGAACGGTCCGACAGCTGAAACAGACGGTTTGTCGCGTCTGAAAGGTTACCTCACCTGCAGCTCGCAGCCAGCGGCGGCGGACAGCGGCGGAGACGGGGGCGCGGCAGGCTCGGCGTCTCCCGGTCAGCCAGTGACGGCTCCGGACCCTGCACTCTCGCTCCGACCGTGCAGGATGTGACCGGCCGATAGGCGCGCCTGACCCCGCCCGTCCCCCGGGAAACTGCGGGGCTGACCGCCGCCGCAGAGCCGAGACTGCACGTCCGGCAGATAGGCGGCCGGCGTCCGGTGGACGCGCTCGGTTTGGGACTGACAGGACGGTCCAGGACGGCCCATACTGTCCCCAGTACCTATAGCCGGCCGGCCAGCAGACATCTCACAGCTGCCACGGGGCAGGTCCGTCACAGCTAGTGACAGTGACAGTGACGGCCAAATCCATCTCACATACTACACCCCCGCAAGTCATGGACAGTCATGGACAGTCAGTCATGGACATTGGCCATTCCATAACTAAGACGACTCAGTCATCGAAGGGCTCATTTTGCCTGTCAGTTACAACCTATCCACGCTAGACACAGTCACACAGCACAAATACGAAGAGGAAGCCACTTCAATGCGCCATGCTCAATAGCCAGGTTATAACTACGCGACATTCAATTTAATTCGCGTCTATATTCCGAATCAAATATCAATAATGCAATCTACACACTAGATTTCGCGAATAGAAATGAAAGCTAAGAGCGTAAAATGTCACCTGTTTAGGCATGCAGAGGATTCTTCAGTGGACCGCCCGCCGTTACCTTGCTGTTTTCTGAGCCGTCACGTGACTCGGGCCCTCAGGCGTTAGTCACGTGACATATACCCCGAGGCGATGCTCGGCCGTGCAGAGGCAGAGGTGCTAGGCGAGGGCGAGTCGAAAGAAACACCGCATGCGGTGCCGTGCTCCATGGTGTTTACTTTGTAAGTATTTACATACTTGTTACTGACGAAGGCCATCTTACTGAATGCTGACTATTGTGCTGAGAAAACAACTGGATGCAGGCAGACGGTTATAGAAGGGAAAACCACAGCCCTTTACTTTCTTCATCGCCCCAAATGTTTTACGTTGTCTTTCATTGTTGTCAGACACACTTCTAAAAGTACAGCTTGCATGCAAGACCGTGGTGCATCGAGATTTGGAACTAGAAGACTCGAAGCTTGCATCATGGCACTGACCAACAATGATAAGACTGACCGCACATCCTCGGCGGTGGGTACCCGATTTCAGTCTCTGCGGTTCAGTTTCCTTCCCCGTGTCCCAACTTCCCCAACCGCCGACGCTGCTCTCCCTCCGTCCCGACCGCGACGTTTCCGGTGCGGTCGTCGGTTGGAGAGATAGCGAAGCGTCCGTCGGCCGCCGCTGTCTCTGCGACCGACCAGTCCCCCGCGCCGCACCCCGCCGCCGGCGAGCGGCCAGCGTACTGGTCGGCCGACCCTCGCCCCAGCTACCATCGACAGCGACACCGGCGCAGCCAGGCTACAGAATTGCAGCGCGGCCATCCATAGGTAAGTCAGTCTTTAGTTGGCCTCGAATCGATCGAGCTGGACTCTTATATCCAGTAAGCACATTGGTCGAGTTATGCCGAGTACCTACATTTGTGTCCACTGTCTATAGGCATGGTGATTTTAGTTATGCAGCAATGACATTTCAAAAATTTGGTCGGTAAAAGGTATCATCCATTTACCGATTGTCCTCAGGGTCTCCGGCATCATGGGCCTGTACGAGTTCAGCCGGATCGAGGGCTTCCCCTCCCTTTTCGCTCCCAACAAGACGCCGGTGACGGCCGACACGGTCGAGGCCGGCTGGATATTCGCCTTTCTCATCTTATTCGCCAGCTTCCTGGTCATCCTGCCCGGCTTCAGAGGCAAACGGGTGAGTGCTCTGCAGGACGGATGGATGCTCGTTAATCCTGGACCTCTCGACAAAATGAAATAATGAGCTATGATTCCCTTGGTCTGGGCTATGGCGTCTTGCCTGTATTACCATATATCGTGATTTTTTTTTTAAACAAAGGATGAGATGATGTGCAATGTACGTACGAGTACATGTCCGTCCAACTACTGATATTTTACAGCGCTTCTTTGTGCTGGTTCGTGTGACTGCCAGCATTATCATTGGACTGCTTCTTATGTGTGAGTAAGATGGGAAGCCACTGGAAATCCAATCAAGGTCCCGGGCGCCTAGAAAGGCGGCAGACGATCTTTTTACGCATGCGTATTCTTACGGAATCGCTTGATGACGGTAGCGTTTGAAACCAATGGGCATGAGATAGGTATCTGTTTTTGATGTTGTTCTGCTTGCATCACTATATTTAATGTATGTCTCCCCAGTGGGTAACTTTGGCATGGAGTGGGAGGTGGTCACCGTGTATAAGTTTGTATACCGTATACCTCCCCAGTGGGTAACTTTGGCATGGAGTGGGAGGTGATCACCATGTATAAGTTTGTATACCGTACGTCTCCTCAGTGGGTAACTTTGGCATGGAGTGGGAGGTGGTCACCGTGTATACCGTATATGTCTCCCCAGTGGGTAACTTTAGCAGAGTGGAAGGTGGTCACCGTGTATACCGTATGTCTCCCCAGTGGGTAACTTTGGTATGGAGTGGGAGGTGGCCACGCTGAAGACGAGGACGCCGTACAAGGCGTACACCAGCGCCGAACTGGAGGGAGCCGAGGTGGGCATGAAGCTCGGCCTGCGTGGCGTCAACGTCACACTCTACGGTAAGAACTCGGATTCACTCTGGACCGAGGGCAGCTCGTGCCACGATCGGGAAGAAGCATGAGTGGCGAGTGTTTAACGTGACACAGAAATGCGTAATTAAGATCGTAAAACTTTCTATCCTAGATCATAAAGAAGTCAGCATTACTTATCTTTAACCATATTTAAGTGGATCGGCAGATATACAGCAATAGCGAATGTTTTCTGTCTCGGCAGTTGACCAGGACCACATTCCGATGGAGTTGAAAGGCGAGGTGATCAACTACAACGAGCGTTTCTGGTGGAGCTGGGGTCAGGGACGGAACGGGTTCGGCCCATTCGGTGAGCAAATTAACGGCGATGACCGCTCCACCCTGTCCGTCCGTTTCAACATTGTTACAAGTGACGTACTTTACTTACATGCTTAGTCTTCATTGCACAAATGTTTTACATTGAAGATGGTAGGTACTAGGTAGCCAACGCTGCGAATCGGTAAATGTGCCGCTAAACCGTCGGCCACAGTTTTTAATCGGTACAAAGTATCGATAAAAGTCAAAGGTAATCAGTAAAAAGTAATCGGTAAAAGGTAAATGGTACTCGGCACTACGGCAGAGCTTCACAATAGCTCTCAGTTCACAATAGGATTGCCTTTTGTTTCATTCAATGCTATACAAACCGTTTTACCATAGGTGAGAATATAAGACATACACCTATGCACTGTCGCCGTCCTGTCGATGTTGATTCTTTATCTGCCGCAGCCGGACAGATCCAGCGCGACTTCCGGCGCGCCCAGCAGCGCGGTGCACCGCTGCCCATCCTTTGGGTGGCAGAGTACTTCACCTTTGACGGCGAGGGCATCCGGTTTGGGCGGCACTACATGCGCGCCGGATGGTACGCGCATATCCTCATCTGGTGAGTGACCGTCGTGACATGCTTACAGGTTCGTTTCAACTCAGTCGTTCATTCGTTTCGATGATGATAAGTGATTTTTCGTTAATATTATTGATTTTTTTCGGGGCAAATTAATTGCAAAGTTTCCCCCGATTGCGCCGGCATATCTGAAGGTGTTATATTATGTCTTGTTCCGCGAAACAGGTGCATTTTACACAAAAATATACTTTGCCAGGAATCGTCAATTTTTCCTTTTCCAATCCCCATTAGCCTAGAATAGTTGCTGTTCCTTTGTAGTCGCTCTATTACGGATCGCCGTTTTAAATAATCGCTCAAGCGTGTGAGTCGCTGTTCTAGAGGCCGCCCAAAATGCGATCGCTGTTTTGAGCGAGTCGCTGTTTTTCTGTCGCTGTTGTTACGTCGCTGTTTTCTGAGTCGCTGTTGGACACGCACACCCCCGCTCTAGACACCATCGTAAACGGTCGGAGCCTTTGCGTCGGCTGGCGAGAGTTGGCAACAATTAGGTTGGATAAGGTGGATAAGGTGGCTCGTTGTGCGCTTATGGCTTCAAATGCCGCTAATCAACGATATCAGATGCCCATTTGTGATCGTGGTGTCACTGTCAGTCAATCAGTACCAGACTGGTGTTCACCGTTCAGTATCTCCGTGTTCCGTGTTATTTCCCGTGACCCGTGCTCCGCCTGTCCCCTGTATCCCACGTCCCATGTTGTCGGACCGGTCACCACTAACCGCCGCTCCACCCACCTCTACCCACAGGGCGGCGTTCCCCTGCTACCTGCTGGCCAACATCTTCCAGTTCATGGTGCTGCGGTACGCGGCGCTGTTCACCATGATGACGGGCCTGCTGCAGATAATCGCCTGCATTATCTGGGCGGCCGTCCGAAACCCCGTGCCGCTGGTGGTGCCGTTCGAGGAGGGCGTCCTGCGCACCCGCTTCGGAGCACACTTCTATCTCACCCTCATCAACGGTTTGTGTGTGAGGGAGAGAGGGAGAGAGAGAGAGAGAGGGGGGGAGGGAGGGAGAGAAAGAGAGAAATTTCCAAAAAGGCGCGTTACATCGTTTATGTATTCGTAAATGTCTTTACCTTGGTCTTTACGGTTCAGGCACTTACAACCAGTTGTTAATTTCGAACTAATTTCTTAAGTTGTGTTTGAGCAATTATTTCAGTCTGGTATTCACGCCGAGTGGTTTTATCAATATGCCGTATTCTGGGAAAACTTTCTTAACATCGGCGACATGGGTTCTTTGTAAACTTCATGCATGCTAATTTTCCATGTCTTATCATTGCCTGCGTTGTTGCAAAATAGGCGCCGAAACAATGTTTTTGCCGCAACGACTAGCACCTTCACATTTTGACGCCAGATAGAAGTAGCAAATCGCCTGAAGCTATACTGTGCCGCAATGCGCATTGCTAGAATTTGCAGCTAGATGGCGGGAGCAAAACGCCTGTAGCTATGCTGTGCCGCAGTGACCGCTATATTCACGATTTACCTCTAGATGGCAGTAGTAGAACGCCTGAATTATGCTGTGCCGCAATGACTTGTC